CGCCATCACCCGTCGAGCTGAGGCCGAAACTCTGCTCCAGCTCTGCTCGCGCATACCACACGGTAAGATGTTGCCAGTCGCGGAGGAGCTCGGCTCGATTGCAAGTGTTATTGGTAGCGGTACCGTGTAGCATGTGCAGCTTGGTGATGTAGGGGTAGGCACGCTGGTACGACTCCATGCTCGCAGCCGAAAGAACGCCCATGACCTCGGCTCTCGTCTTCTCCAACAGTTTCTGGAAGAGTGTGTCGTCCTGCCGCTTGATGGCCGACACCAGACCACCGATCGCCACCTCGAAGTCCAAGGGCGAATCACCTGCCAGTCACCGTCCCCACAGGTGGTCAGCATGGCTTGCAGACTCTACAACAAGGCGATGCAGTCAAACAGCGCTTACCGAGAGTTTCAACGGAAGAAGCCGACGTAGAGTTCGTCAGGCTCAAGCTGTTGGTATCGGGCAGGCCGCTGCGCCGCAGGTGAGGCGATAGGAACTTGTGGAGAATGTCCCACTTGCCTAGCCGCCACGCCGCTTGCACGCCGTAGGACATGAGCACGGCTTCGTAACGGTCTGGTCGCTGCACGACATGGTGGGACGTGTTTAGGCGCAAACAAACGCCGATAAGGTGGTGTGAGGAGAGGTCTAACATACATGAGATGCCAGCTGCGCCGTCACGAGGTTGAGCATCGTCTCGAGCTGACCCAGATTCAGCAGGCAGTTGACGTCCGATCTGGTGCGAGAAGTTCTCTTCGGTGTGGATTTGCAGCGCCTAGATTAAACCGCGTGCGTTAGGCGCGCAATCACCAAGCGCAGCGCTGGTGCGGAGGTGTGTACCTGATCGTAGCACATGAAGGCATCGCGCCATTTGCCCGAGTTCTCCAGGTCGACAATGTGGTCCCGCAGTGTGTTGGATGCTCTCAGGGTGGCGATGCCCTTGAGACCATCGGGCTCATCCAGTCCCGTGTAGATCTTCTGCATCAGCGAACTATTGACGGCTAGTATCTCGCCACTGCCGGTTTGGAGAGCAACTTGACTGTTCAGCACACGTTGGCAGAGAAAGGAGCGAGCAGTCCGCATGCGGACTGGATTAAGTACCTGCGGTTGGTATCCAGGTTGATTTCCTTGCGTAGGTGGAGCTCAAAGTGGAGGAGGGCGCGCGTGTAGGTTCTGCAGCGGAGCGACGCTTGCGCGAGGGTGAGCTGCGGTATCTGGGCCAACAGCTGCTCCACGTGTTCGACATCGCTCGGTTTATTCTTTGTCCCCGAGCTGCGTGCCGACGACCGACTGCGAGCGCAGAAGCGTTAGTGAGCGCCATGCGCGTACGCACACCCTGAATGCGCACAAGAAGGAAGAGACAACGTTGGACAATACCTTGATGTCGTACGCGAGCGTGCGCTACGGGGATTGGCTGCCGCTTGTTGGGCGTCCAGCCACTTGTTTAGCAGATCGATGAGCGAGAAGATAGTCGCGGTGTTCATCTGGCTCCGCTCGTCCAGGCTCCTCTCGTTCTTGGCCGACGGACTCTTGCCTCGCGAGGGATCCTCCAGCACTGCCAGGAACTCTGCACAAATGGCAGCGTTGTCCTCCTCACCGCCATACCTTTGGGGGGAGATAGCAATATTGTCACGCGAGTGTGGTCACACCATGCCATGGTAGTGGAGGTGGAGTACCGTAATACGCTGAGCACGAGGTACGGGAGCAGGAAGTGAGCAGTATTGAGATCGTCCTTGACGACGCCGCGGCAGGTCTGGAAAAGGTCGGCTTGTGGCCCCTTGACGCGCTGGATAAGCGTCGCCGCCCAGGTCGAGACCCACGACTGGTAGTCCTTGGAACCGGGGTAAATGGGCACCCTGGGCTGGGTCGAGGGCGCCTGCAGCACGTACTGCGACGACAGAAACGGCATCATCAACTCTCGCACGTCCTCCGAAAACCGTCGCCAAAATCGCACGCCACGCTTGACCTCGCTACATCAACATCACCGCCGTCCGTGTTTGAAAGTTAGTAAGTCAGATCGTTCTCTCGCGAGATGGAGCCGAGGTCGTACCTTGGCAAGTTCTTCTGGGTCTTCCGCTTCCTTCCCTTGGCGGCCTCTTTGGCAGCGCGCCGTTCGGCCAGCACGACGGGGGTTTGCTCGGTACACCCGCACAGCTTGAGCACTTCCTGTTGTTCGAAACATGGGAAAATTAGCAAGACAGTCGGCGTACATGATCTAAAGAGCCAGAAAAAGTTCATGCGCACCTGAATTGCGAAAGCGGCCCTATCTTGGCCTCGCGTGTCGCGCGCAGCTCTGAACGCTGGGAGCAGGTGCGAAGAAATGAGCTGAAAGGCCATCTCGTCGTCCTCTTCGTACTCGAGCGGCTTGTTGGTGTTGCTGGTGCCCACCAGCCTCTGCAAATGCGTTGATGTGTGGGTGCTTAGCTACTGGGATAAGAAACAAGGAGGTCACTTGCTTGACGTACGTGGAGTTCAGACTTGACGTCTAGCTCGAGCCGGCCAGGATCGATGGCACCCATCTCCCCCAGGCACATGGCGATCTTGACGCGAAGCTCCTTCGACTGGGTGCGCGCGCAGAGAAGCAGCCCCTTAAGCAGATCGAGCATCACAGGGCTCACAGTCTCGGCCATAATCGCAGCAGACACCTCCTCCCTAAGGCACCAAAAACGTAAATGGCTCTGTATCCGTGGTGGTCGGGGGTTGGGCTGGCGTACCTGCACTCGGCAAGAACCTTCTGCAGTTTGTCGACAGCGAGAAGTTGAACGTCGAGACTCTCATGGTTGATGCCTTCGGCCAGCAGCTGCTCGAGTTGGTCCTTGAAGTCTTTGGACTGCTGATCTTCGAGCTCTCGGCGCACGCGCGCTAGCGGCGGCAGGTCGGGCAGGAAGAGGATCTTGTGGAAGTGCGGCTGCAGCGCGGCCTTGTTGTCGATGATCAGGTACTCGAAGATGCGGATGACCTGCGGCGTGGCTGAGGCCACGTAGGGCAGCAGGTCGACCACGATCTGCGACAGGATGGGTCCCAGCTGGCCGACGTCCAAGCGAGTGATGAAGTCGAGAAAGACGTCGCACGCCGGAGCGACGAGATGTGGGAACTTGAGCACGAGACGCAGTGTCGCCATGACCTTGGGCCGAAAGTTGTTGAGATGCGGCCCGATGAGCCTGATCAGCACCGAGAGGCTGCGCAGCACGCGGTCCATTTCGTCGTTGTCGGGCTGCGCGCTCTGGCTTCGGCCCTTGTGCAGTAGCACGGACAGGTAGTCCATGATGCCGAGGAAGAACGGCCGCAGTAAGTTGGAGATGGTCGTAGCCGAATCGCCCACGATCTCGACTCGGTCGTCGGCCCCTTCCTGCGGCGGAAGCAGGCGCGACACCGTGACGAAGGCGGCCTCGACTTTCGGTCGCTTGTCGGGGTCGGCCAGCAGCAGTGTGAGCTGGTCCAGCAGCTTGTTGACGCACGACTTGAGCAGGATCCCCGGATTGGACCACTGGGGCATGAGCTGGGCGAAGAAGCGGAAGCTCTCGTCCAGCTGCTTGTGGGTGCCCTCGACCAGCAGGTAGCAGAAGATGTGGTGGAAATTCGGCACCAGGAGCTGCGGCACCGACACGCGCAGCCGTCGCGCCAGCTCCTTGAACAAAGCCACCGACTGCTGCATGACGATCCGCGGCAGGGTGAAGGGCAGCGCGTGGTGCAGTAGGTGTTGCGTGTCCATGTCGAAGATAGCGCCGCTCATCTCCTCGACGAGCTCGGGCGCCGTGAGCAGGCTCTCGATGATGATCGGGTAGATCTCGTGCTTATGCATCTCAATCAGCTTGGCGAAGGGCACCTGCTTGCTCGCACTGACCTTGCCGATCTGTTCGTGGACCAGAGCGCGCAGGCCGAGGTTGGGGTGAGCCAGCTTGCCCAGTAGCGAGAGGATCACCTCCACCAGAAACCGCCCCTGCAGCACGGTGCAGAGAGACCCCAGCGCGATCAGCGATGTCTCCTGAAGGCTGTTCGTGTCGCTCTCGTCGTCGACAGCTGCCTTGAGGTCGGCGATCAGTTTCTCGAGCGTGGCGGGAGCGTTTGCGTTGGCATCGAGCACCGACGAGAGGCCGCGCTCGCCGACGAAATGGGGCAGGGCCTCGCCGATCGCCAGCCGGATGTGGTAGGCGGGGTCGAACACCAGGCGCAAGCAGCCCTTGAGGCTCGCCGGTCCGTTCTCCACAAGTTCATCCGCTGGCATATGCGCCACGATGCGGCGCAGGCTGCGGGCAAACTCGACGCGCTGGCCCTCGTCGGCGGACTGGCTCTGGAGGAACGCGAGGAATGGTGCCCATGGCGCGATGGAGGACCGTTCAGCAGTCTTGGCCTCGTCTCCGCTTCCCTCTTTGTCGTCGTCGATCGCCAGCCTCCGCTTCTTGCTGGCTGATGGACCCTCCTCGGCTTGGCCGGCCGGTGCCAGCGACTGGTCGCAGACGCAGCAGCGGAGGTTGATCTGCTCCAGCAGGTCCTGGAAGGCGCCGGCGGGCACAGAATCCAGCTCGGTGTGGTGGCACGCCAGATTGCCCTCCTGTTCAAAATCCTCGGGCACGATGGGTTTGCGATGCGGGGGCCTGCTGAGCGTGTTGCCGCACATGCACGCCAGCAACCCGAGCTGCTTGCCGAGCATTGCCACAATCTCTGGCGATTCGTCGTTCAGCATGTCCCTACAACCAAGTTGGTGAGATGAATGACTCTTTGCTAATTCTTTCACGTGGGTCTGGCAAATGGGAAGGACTGCGGACGTACTTGAGCACGAGGAGGAACTTGGGTACGTTCGGCCGGGATAAGCGGCTGATGAAGAGCGGGAGCAGAAGGAGGGTGTGCAACCGGACGTCGAGGTGCGGATGGCGGAGCGAGGACTGGAAGATCGCCTTCCTCGATTTGACTGCGAACGAATTGGGGAGCCAGCAGAGAAGTCGCAGACACGACGACACGATCCGGATCGGGTACCGCGTCAGGTCGCACGGCTCTGGAGAGTCAGCCCTCTTGCTCTCGTCCCAGGGAAGCGAAGCGAGAGAGAGGAACGACTCCAAAAAGCCCGAGAACAGCTCGTAGTTGCCTGTCCAACAATAAGAGGCGAAAAAATGAGGTGGTGCTGGCGGTGGCAAACAAGTACCACCCAGAGGATGCTCGCGTACTGAGCTCTTGAAGCAGATCGGCGGCCAGATTGATCAGCACAAGCAGGCTCGAAAGAGCTTGCAATCGCTCCTTGCCCTGGACACGTGGAAGTGGTCAGAGCACCATCACAAAATTCACGCGGCAGTGAGCACTGCGGATGCTGCAACATTGGCAAATACCTCCTCTCGACAGAGCTGCAGTACGACGCCGATCGCCTTGTGTAGCTTGGACAAGAGCTGCTTGAAAGCGATCGGATCCTCCTCGGAAGAGCCGGTGCATGTCCGCAGGATGAAGTCCAGCGAGTGCACGGCGTCCACCAGCGAAGTCGTGGCACTCGCCCTTTCATCAGGGGCGCCACCCACGGGAGACAGGGGAAGCAGTTCCGCCAAGACGAACAGTGGATGCAGCGATGAGCCGGGGGATGCCTTCGCCTCGGGAGTCGCAGCGGCCGACGGGTCTCTGAAGTGCAGCCTCTTCCTCGTGAGCGCGCTGCTGCTGGAAGTTGAGGTTGCGGAGGGCCTGCCGGTGTGAGGGACTGCTGTGTGGATGTGGTAGCACCAGATTTGGCGAAGATGCGGAAGCATCGATGCAGGTGCTCTCGAATCGAGCAATCGTGGATGAAAGGGAGGAGGTTGAAGACGGAGAGCATGCTGGTCGGACATGCTTTCATACAGACCGCGAACAGGCGACAGAGCGTGATCTGCACACAATGAGGGAGGAGCACGTGTGAGGCCAATCTAGGAGGAGTACAGGAATGGGCAATAGAGCTCTCTTGGAACCTTGAGTCGGGTGTTGGTGGTTGATGCCAGGCAGCTGGGAATGACCGACTCGAGTAGCCTGGGCGCATAAGGACGGATCAGGTGCCCTGAAAGCTGGGGCTGCACGGCTTCAAGGCACTTCGCGAGTTCGCTGTTCACCTCATCGCTTCTGCACAGGGTCCACCAGTGAGTGAAGAACGGCGGAGGACACGATCGCATAGCAACCATTACCGCTGAATCGGAGAAGCCGTGGAGTCTACAAGCAGAAGAGCCAGCATATATCGGATGGATCGCTCACAAGGCACTGGTGGCGGCAGCTTAACAAGCAATAGGCGGTAGAGCTTGAGCAACTCCTGCCAATTGTTTTGATTGTGGGTTAACCCACGTTAAGGCGACTTGACGTGGCGGCGATGGTTGGTACGCGAACGTACCAGTGTAAGAAAGGCCGGACCCTCTTGAAGTTGAAGCAATAAGCTCCAAAGTGTGTTGGAATAGCTAACGAGGCAAGGCGGTATGGCATCCACGAGCCGGATGACGATCAGCAGGAAGCAACGCTGCGTGAGAGCGCACTCCACTGGGTCGGTGATGGTCAACAGAAACCCGGTCTTGTCGCCTGCACGGCAGACGCTGTACTATTAGCATTACAGTCCGTAACAACACGGCAAGCGGTCACAGGCTTACCATCAGCGTTGGTGGTGAGACCGGTCTCTGGATAGGCCGCGAGGAAGTTGGAGAACGCCACTATGTACACTGCTTCCTGTTTCTTCTGGTGCCCCTTCTCGTACAGCTTCCACACGGCGCCGAGGTCTAAGTTGTTTGGGTCTGTGTCAGCCAACATGGCCAGGTCATGTTGGGGAGGAGGATGGTACCCTGAATAAGAAGGAGCGCGTCATGGAAGAACGAAGCGAACCCCTGGTAGTCGCGATGGCAGAAGAGTTCGAGCACGTTGGCAGTGACGTGCGCCAGCTCTCGTGGAGGGTTTCGAGCTTGGGGTGCGAGAAGAGCGATGCCAGCTTGAGCACAATCAAGGCCTCCATGCATGAGCCGCCCTCGCAAAAGATGTTGGGCACATCCTGGCATAGTTGCTTGAGCAGCGCCACCACGTCTCGCACGTTACGGACCGATTCTGCAACACACAATGAAGGATGAGAAGTGAAGGGGTAGGAACCGCACTATAGTGCCGAGGAGCTACAGCGTAAAACCTCACCTTTCGCTTTGGAGGTGATGAGATCGAGCATCTTAGCCAATAATCGCCGCAGCCGGGAGAGAAATTGGCTGTTGTATCGCAGATTATCACTTTCATTTGACATTAAACTCTCCACCAGCAGTCGCAAGACTTGGGAGAAGGAGGCCTCCTCTCCGCTATAGACCTCCATCGCCTCTTCATCTGCTTCCATCTTTTCACAAATGCTCAACGCGAAAGTACTGGCGAAAATGTTCTTCGAAATTTTTATGGTGTGCACCAGTTCAGCTCTCGTTGTCTTCTTCTTGTTCACCGCTGCTAGACAGGAACGTCGCTGTCGCCAGCACCCACGGATGCTCCTGTGCGGGCGATACGAGCACCAAGGTTGGAAGCTTAGGCGCATGTGCCAGGCACCTCGCACCGGCAAAAGGATGGTACGAACCTGGATTTGGGTCAGAGTAAGGCGTTGCGATGGGTCCTTCTCCATAGCGCCTCGTAGCAGCGACACCAAACTCTCATCGTCAATGCCGTCGAACGAAGGCCTTCATAACGAAGAAGTTTTAAGGGGTATCAATGACGAGCGAAGTCCGTGGGAAAGAACGGGAGGCTGGCAATGGAGTACGCACTCGTCGTTCTTTATCTTGTCGTACATCTCCATGACGTTGTCAGCGAGAAATGGCAGCCGGCCAGTGACGAAGCAGTAGAGGCACACGCCGAGAGCCCACACGTCCCGCGGGAACTTCGAGGCCTCGGCAGGCGAGTAGGCAGCTGTACCACCCCACGCACGAGATGACGTAACACCGATGTTAACATGTGCTGCGAGGGCTCTCGCGACTCACAAGTGCGCGAAAGTGTAGGGGAGAGTACATGAACACAACTCGGGAGCCATGAAGGCCGGTGTGCCTTCGAGCACTTCGTGACAGACCAACCCTTCGCTGCTCTCCGGCGTTTCCATTCCTGAAGATGAAAGGGCAAGCGGTGAGCGCTCAGGCACGTATGATGGTATGTGAGTTGGCGTTGGTACCAACGTATCTGCTGCTTCCAAAATCGATTATCTTGACCTTGCCCTCGGCGTTCACGAGCAGATTGTCCGGCTTTGACACACAAAATCAGATCAAATGCACCACACAAGCAAGCGGCGCTTGCCCGCTGCAGAGTACCTTTAGGTCGCAATGAATGACGTTTCGAGAGTGCACTGCGAAGTGGCGAAAGCGAAGAGGTCCTGGTTAACATTAACGTCACAAGACTGGGTGCATTGGTAGGAGGCGTATACGATAGTAAAGGCCTTGCAGGACGTCGTAGAAGTAGCTGCGCGTGAATTCCATCTCCAACGGCGTGCCATCGATGTCGCGCATCACTGGACCCAGCTCGAGATATTCAAATACTGTCGGCGAAGTTAGCCTCAGCACGCACCAACAGATGGCCGTAGCACAAGAAGGGGAGACACAACATGCAGTGGGCACATGTAACAACCTATGTACAAGTGCAACAACTGCGGATCGTTGATAACCTGCTTCAGCGCAACCACGTTGGGATGATGCAGCCGCTTCAGAATGTCCACCTCCCGCCAGATATGATCCAGCGCATTGCCTGTACTCATCATCAGCACAGCATGAGCACTACTGCTACAGGGTCCACTACCCTAGAAAAGAAGGAGCAGGCGGCGAGTCGAACCTAAGCCTCGACGTCGCTTAGCCAACATGGCCTTGTGGCACACCTTCATCGCCTGATGATCGTGGCCACGGCAGCAACGAATAGAGTTGTGAGAGAGCGGTTCGTTAGAAGAGAAGGAGACGAATACGCACGTAGAGCTCGTTGTCCTTTGTGTTCAAGCACAACTGTATTCAATAGTGGGTGTGAGGTGAGAGCTAAGGCAGTGAGTTGCAGAGAGAAAGCACCTTCACTTTGGCGAAGGAGCCCTTGCCTATGGTCTTGATGAGGAGGTACTCATTAACGCTCTTGTTTCCGTCCTCATCCACCTCTACCACTGCTTTCATCGTCTCCAGCGCCTCCACGTCGCCGCCATCGTTTGCCATCGCACCTCCATCTTTAATCGCAGAATCCATACCAGCGCCCTGCGATTCTTGTCTCGAGCAGGCTTGCAAAGGGCTCGTACAGGTATTCCACTCCTTGATCTTTCTTCGTGTGGCCGAGGGCGAAGGCTGCAGCTGCAAGTCTCCCAATCGCTGCACTAATTCTTCTTGCTGTCTAGCTTTGCCTGCATTCTTGCTATCCTGCTCCATTACCTGTTCGTGAAGCGGCCATGACCCACCCCACGATTCGCGTGATCTTGTGGTCCCAATTTTCGCTTCCTTGTTCTGATTTATTTATTTATTTATTTTCGCTTTGCTAGTTTTTTCTTTTTATTATTATTATTCAAACCGCAGTCATGGAATTGTGTGTACAGCTAGAACTCAGCACTCCAGATGTCTAGCATGAGTTCATGGAGAGGATGGACACACCAGACTGGCCAGTGCAGTGTTCATTAGAGAAATTGGTGCCATCACATCCACACATGGGGCTGTAAACCATGGGACACATGGGCCTGCCAGAGCACACCTGGAGAACCATTCAACCCAGGAGGTGAGCACATTTCTCAAGGCTTGGAAGGCACAAAACAAGAAGGTTGAGGTACCAGTTCCTGAGCAACCACTGGTGTAGCCAGAGCACTTGCCCACCTCACACTTGCAGAAGTGGCCATCCACCAGGCAGTCCTCATCTTGGGCACAAACAGCTGTGTCTGCTTGGTCTCTGTCAAGTACATAGTCCACATGAGGTCCATTGTTTAGAAAGCAACCTTCAAGAGTTTTGTACCATTCATGGGTGCTCACTGACACTCCAGCAATCCTGGCCATGCAAGGGTTGCTGTATGTGTTGCCATCTCAGCCACAAACAGGTGCAAACTCCTTTGTGCATGCCTCTACAAACTCTTTGCAGACAAAGTGTCTGGCCTTCAGCCCATGTTGTGGAGCTGGTTGGAACATCAAGTCACCAATCCTCTGTCTGAGGACTGGTTTTATTAAGATACCAAGTTGTGGCTGCAAGTCCAGGAGGACTCCAAAGTCTGTCTGCCCCTGCTTTTGGTTTGCGCGCTTTTTCCGTGCTCACATTATTTGCATACCTTGCATCTTGCATACCTTGCATTTTTGGAATTTCAATTGACAGAGTGCAGGTCGTCGTGGACCCAGCAGGGACGACGAGGGCAGGGTGGCTGGAACATTAGGACACAAAGTAAAGTACGACGCGACAAGGGGCGGAAAAGACATAGGCATTGAAGAAGAAGAAAGGAGGCTGCGCATAGAAGTTTCTCCCAGCGTTCAGGAGAGGGCGGTCACTCGAGAGGGCCGCGCAGTCGATGTCAATCCATCATCGCAAGAGCCGGAGCGGAGGCTCGTACATCATTAGCAACATGGATTCGCCAGGGAAGAGCGGCGACGAGAAGATTCTGAAGAAGAACGCGAGTAGCAGCTTTGCCGCAGGAGGGAATAAGGATGGAGATAACCTCGTTACCCTAGCCTCCGCCCCCAGCATCAACCTCAACAACAAAGCGGTGGAGAAGGGCGATAGACCCAG